AAATTTTACGATGAAATGTTCACGTCCCAAAAAAAATTTACGACATACTAATCTCTGCTGTTTATGGCCAAAATGAGCCAAATTTCCATAGCTGTAGTTTTTCAACAACAAGTTCATTCCTCCGTTGTGTTTGCTGTAGCATTCTACATATTACGTACAAAATGAAAAATTTCACGATAAATTTCTCAACTCACAGAAAATCGACACACCTTTTTTGGCCAAAAAGCAAATTGGCATACTAATCTCTGCCGTTTTTGGACAAAATTGTGTTTGGATTTGGGTGAAGGTTAGGGGTTAGAGTAAGAGGTTAGAGGAAGGGGTTAGGGCAAGGGGCTTGGGGTTAGGGTGAATGTTAGGGGTTAGGGGTTGGGGGTAGGGGTTAGGGTTATTTAGGGTTAGGGCTTAGGGTTAGCGTTAGAGTTTAGGGTTAGGGTTAGGAGTTAGGGGTTAGGGGTTAGCGTTAGGGCTAGGGGATAGGGTTCAGGTTTTAGGGTTATCAGTTAGGGTTAGGGGTTAAGGTTAGGGGTTATGGTTAGGGTAGGATTAGGGTCAATGTTAGGTTTAGTGTTAGGGGTTAGGGTAGGATTAGGGTCAATGTTAGAGTTAGTATTAGGGGTTAGGGTTAGTGTTTAGGTTTAGGTGTTAGGGTTAGGGGTTTGGGTTTAGACTTAGGGGTTAGGGTTAGTTAGGGTTTGAGTTAGGGTAAGGGGTTAGGGTTATGGGTTAGTAATTAGGGGTTAGGGTTATGGGTTGGGGTTAGAGGTTATGGGTTAGGGGTTAGGGGATAGGGTTCGGGTTTAGGGTTAGGGATTAGTGTTAGGGATAGCGTTAGGGCTCTATTATTCCGAATCATTATTCTCCGACACATCTGGCAAAAACATTACCAAGCTGCAGCGAGTACAACATCCTTGGGCAGGCGTCATGACGGGTACTGCAAAATACGACCATGTCTGTCCAGTGCTCACTGAACTGCATTGGCGTCCTGTTACCGAACTCATACATGTGTAATGGGTTCCGGAGACACTTGTAGAGGTAACTTCTTTATTACTATCCAACACTCCAACTCTCCAACACTCCAACAGTCCTGATACTCTGTTACAGCCTAGGTACACAGCCTAGGTACACAGCCTAGATACTCTACTCTGGCTACGCTCTGGAACTCGCCCTCACAAGATCATAGAGTCGGGAGTTCCCGAGTCCCACCACTGGCTGTCACAGCGTCCCAGGGTCCTCAGATGGCTTGTCTTGGGTCTTGGGTCTTGAGCTACGACTGGCCCTGATCGTCCAGGGAGCTCCCCTTGTATGCCTAGTCCCCAACGAGGGGTGGGGCCGTGTGCGCCCCCAGATATCCCACAGAGCACACACAGCCCCCCCGTTGGTGGCGCCAAGTGGCTTAAGCGTCTGACCCGCCTGGGAACCCAGCGCCTGGCGCCAAGGGGCCCAAGCGCCTGGCCCGCCCAGGGTCCCAGAGCCCCCAGCAGCCCCTCCCTTCTTATGTCACTACACATGAAACGGTTGCACGCATTACATACAAAGCGCTTGCCACAAATGAACCCCAATACCTTGCTGGTATCATCATAGAGCATAAACCATCACGCAAAATCTGGTCAGTCTCGCAGCTTTTGGCAAGTCAGATGAACTTCTGCAGCTGTCTGGAATGTTCTTCCTTCCGATATTAGGTAATCACTGGAGCTACGTATTTTTTTAATCCAGACTTCAAATAATTTTCTTTATAACTGCTCTTTGTGCTTAGTTTGTTGTCCTTTACCCCACACCTCAGATGAGAATGGTTGGCTATGTACGGTGTTAAAGAAGTTCAACATACCAACATGGACACTCGCTAAATAACCTAACCAACATGGACACTCGCTAAATAACCTAACCAACATGGACACTCGCTAAATAACCTAACCAACATGGACACTCGCTAAATAACCTAACCAACATGGACACTCGCTAAATGACCGAACCAACATGGACACTCGCTAAATAACCTAACCAACATGGACACTCGCTAAATGACCGAACCAACATGGACACTCGCTAAATAACCTAACCATCATGGACACTCGCTAAATAACCTAACCAACATGGACACTCGCTAAATAACCTAACCAACATGGACACTCGCTAAATAACCTAACCAACATGGACACTCGCTAAATAACCTAACCAACATGGACACTCGCTAAATAACCTAACCATCGTGGACACTCGCTAAATAACCTAACCATCATGGACACTCGCTAAATAACCTAACCATCATGGACACTCGCTAAATAACCTAACCATCATGGACACTCGCTAAATAAGCTAACCATCATGGACACTCGCTAAATAACCTAACCAACATGATTTAAATATTTCGTGACTGCAGGGATTCATCTTCTTGGTTCTTTCGGTAAAGTCACGTAGAAGGGAAATAATAAAATAATAAAAATAAAACATTATAAAATACAATTCTCACGACGTTTCGGCCACGATGCAAACAGCCGTCCTCAGGTAAAGAACAGGTCTGTCGGAAAGACAGCATCTGAATGAGCACCACCAGGCTTGGCAGCGTATATTTAAGCTGGGTTGGAGGGGGAAGGGCGCCTTGACAAATTCATTTGCATATCAAGAGGAATTTAGCATATTTATTGGAAATGCAGATATGGGATTAGTCACTACTTGTGGAATGCGTAGGGGGGGGGGGTTCAAAATCATATTATGCCCGTGCATTATGCAGTATGAGCAGCAACAAAGGGAGGGAGTAGGGGTAGCATTAATAAAGGGAAGGAATGTTAATAGTATGGAGCTGCAGCAGCTAAACCACCACGTAAAAAAAAACTAAAATATAAACTACATCAGTATCATCAATATACTAAATATACTCTCCAATAAGCTGAGCTACTAACAGTAAGTCATACATTACAATTGTATGTCGCAAAAAATATAATATGCCTCCAGCCAAACTTTTTTCTCTTACATCACACGGGTCTACCCCGTACTATATACTGCCATAGACAAACCCAACATTAAATTATATACTGCATTACTATACACCACCCTTAGACTATACATTGTAATATTACACTATGTATTATTCTACCTACCAAACTGTATACCACACTGCTGTATATTCACTATACAATTACGATACTATATATTACTTCATACATTGTATAAAAATTACACTTTTATACTATTTATTATCATACAATCTGCTATACACTATACCATTGACCGTCGCGTGAAAGGTACTAAGAGGAAGCAACGAAATATGTCAATGGGAGGACATCCTCCACGGAGCCCAATAACAAAATACAAACGTGGACGTCAACTTTTCTGATGTTATCTTCAAACAGGCCCTCATCCTCCTTCACGACAAACTGCACTCCATTGCTGGGAAATACTTCACGTCTATGGGACCACCAACCCCCGTACAAGGACAACCTGCATGCCCTTGCTCAAGAGATACTACATGAAATATGTTACGTTTTGCAGCTTCTTACGTTTATTTTGGAAAATTAACCAAAGCTGATGGATGCACAAATAGAAGCCTACACGGAAATCTTGGAAGACATTGAGACTACAAATCGAGTCATTTCTATCCTTGATGCACCTGCCAGTACTGGGAAGACCTTTGTTTTAAACTGCTCCTCGCAAAGGCTCGCCAGAGAGAGAGAATTGCTCTCGCTGTGGCATCATCGGGGATTGTGTGAGTCGATGTGTGTCAGTCGCTGTGTGTGTGTGTGTCTATGTGTGTCAGTTGATGTGTGTATGTACGTCGATGTGTATGTGTGTTAGTCCATGTGTGTGTTAGTCCATGTTTGTGTAAGTCAATGTGTTTGTGTGAGTCGATGTGTAACTCCATATGTGTGTATCTAAAGTCCATGTCTGTGTGAGTCCGTATGTGTGTGTAGGCCAATGTGTGTGTGTCTATGTGTAGAGGAGTAATATGGGGATGTGACGTCATGCTTGCTGTCCAGTGCGATGACGTCATGCACGCTGGGCGAGGCGATGACGTCACGTCTCTTGTCGGTACTTAAGGGGGACCGTGTGACGAACGCGGGGTCACTTTGGGAGCCCGGGATAGAGAGCGGTTGAAGCACCAGCCAGGGGTGAAGCTCAGGGAGTCTGGAGAGAAGCCGGCCGCAGTGATAGAAGAAGGTGCTGCTCTCCCCGGTCGGGCGGTGTTGGCTGAACCCCCGATCCGACTCGAGGGAGAGAGCCCTGGAGCTCGCCGAGCCAGGAACAGACAGAGTGAAGGTTGGTGTGAAGGACCCCTACCCCTGGGGAAGTTACCCAAAACTCTTAATAAATAACTGGCGCAAGCCCTTAACTGAAGACCTGCCTCCGCGTCGTCATTTGCACCTCAACATATGTATGTGTGAGTCCATGTGTGTGTGTAAGTCAATGTGTGTGCGTGGGTCCTTGTTGTGTGTAAGTCCATGTGTGTGTCTCTTAGTCGATGTGTGTAAAGCCATGTGTGCTTAGGTCCATGTGTGTGTGAGAGTCTGTGTGTGCGAGTCGCTGTATGTGTGTATGTCGATTTGCGTGTGTAACTCCATGTGTGTGTATCTGAAGCGAATGTCTGTGTGTAAGTAGATGTGTTTGTGTGTGTGGGTCGATGTTTGTGTGTCTAAGTCCATGTGTGTCTTTTTCGGCCAGGCAACGCCGGGTACTTCCTGCTAGTACTCTTATATAAGCGCGCCTCATCTCTCTGTGATGAACGCTGCACTTTCCATCATTTTCATGCAGGGGGCGCTGTAAACCTACGCACCCCCTGCATGAACGACGGAGGCGCAGAGACAGACGTTCGATCGCGTTGGAATCGATCTGCAGACGGCGGTCTTCTGGCATGGCCAGCTCTGTGTCGCCTCATCTCCATCCCGCAAACCCAACCAGGTGAAAGTCCACATCGAACCGAACCCCAGTAAGGCCATCTACTTAACTAGAGAAAATTCACACGAAATGTCGTTTTCAATTAAGTCTTCCAGATGTAAAATGATATCAGCTTTTATTGAAGAAACACAATTTAAAACATAATACAATTCAAAGTTGTTGCATTTTCAAACTTCAAAACGGAGCATCGGGTGCTTGCGTGAACGCGTCGTTCGTGTGCAATTTTTTCGTGACTTTCCTGGCCCAAGGCCGTAAATGGTTGTGAGGGGGCTGCAGGCGGTCAGGCTTGCTTCACCCCATGGTTGTGAACATCCAGACGTTAATCAGCAAGGACCATTTCTTGTCCTAGTTCGCCAACATATAAGACGTCATGCAAATTTCTAATGAGTGTTGTTGTGGAGAATGTATCTACTAGATGTGCTCTGCCTTGTAACCAAATACAAATCTGTACCAAAAATGCATTCCAAATGTGCTCTTAGAATTACCTCCTTGCTATGAAGCAGATCAGCAGACACGACATCTTTCATTTATCGATCTCTCCACGAAACAAATGAATGTTTTACACAAACTATAACTAGCACAGCCTTCTGGGAGTGCGTCAATGATTCAGTGCAAGCCACCTGTGGACCCTTATTGGTGCACAGCGTCTCAACAGCAGCCGGGCTTGTTTCAACCGATGGTTGTGAACATCCAGACGTTAATCAGTAAGGAGTATTTCTCGTCCTAGTTAGACAAAATCTACGTCAACACGTAATGCAAAATTATAATTCGTGTTGTAGAGAATGTATCTCCTCTACGTGTAACTTTTGAGTGGTTTGCCTTGTAACTGAAATGATCCGAGTGTGCTCCCTATTTCAAAGACAATGAGTTGCTCCAGAGGCAGACGCTTGCTGAAAACACAAAAGTACCCTTTGACCTGTATCACAAGAACAATGAGTCTCACCTGAGTGATCTGTACAGCTTACTTGCAAAACACACACTTTGTCCTAACATCACTTATTCAATGTTTGACTCTCATAGACAAAAGGTTACATGTACGCACACAATCAGACAAGTATTCATTCTAAATTATTGACAATCATTTTAACTAATACTATTGCGCCATTCAAAACGAATGCTGGTGTCTGGGTCAAAATTGAGCAAATTCTAAACATTATCTACAAACTCCACAACTGAGATGCCACATCAACCATCGCCCCCTACTGACAGGCTCTTGTCCACATGCAGGCCGGTGCAGGGCCACCACCTTGTGCCACACAGGGGCAGCTGCTACTTGGGGATGCTCTTCGAGTGTTTGAGACGAGAAACGATACAAAACTACGAATTGCCGAGGCAATTAAGCAAACACCATTTAAATGCAATTATGAGAACATAGAGAATGCTTGGGAGCTTATTGGCTCTCGCTCCTGGTTAGAGATCTACCCAACACACAGGTCCACAAAGACTGGCCGCTCTTACCCTGCAGGTTGAACCTAGGAACTGAGTGTTCAACTTCACATTCTTGTCATTAAAGGCCTGTGACAAGGGTGCATCTATTGGAGCGACATCGTCACTGGCTTACACATCTACCGGGTCTCCATTTGACTTTGTATTGTCTCGGAGGAAGTCCACCCACACCTCCACTTCCACAAACTGCTGGGAGTTGCCTCGCTCTGCCTCAGTCAGAATTCTCCTTCTGCTTCACGTTGCCTCCATCGATGCAAAGGTCACATTTTGGAGTTTCATCTTCAAATTTTACCTTCACTTCTTCACTCTTCACCATCACTTCTTCACATTCCACCTTCACCTCTTCATATTTCACCTTGATTTCTTTGAAAGTGTCCAAGCTGGGATTTTCTTCCGGTTCTTGTTTGATGAGGGATGGGCTCATTGAGGCACTTTGACTTTCACAAGCTGATTTCGGACTCCACTCCTTGTGGATCTTCTGATGCTTGTGTGATCTCTGGTGTCTTTGAAGATTTCGTGAAAGTGTAAACGCCTTCTCACACACACCGCACTTGAAGGGTTTCTCTCCCGTGTGCCTTCTCTGGTGTGTTACAAGAGCAGATGAAAATGCAAACGCCCTCCCACACACACTGCACTTGAAGGGTTTCTCTCCCATGTGTGTTCTCTGGTGTGTTACAAGAGCAGATGAAAATGCAAATGCCCTCCCACACACACTGCACTTGAAGGGTTTCTCTCCCGTGTGTGTTCTCTGGTGTGCTACAAGATGAGCTGAACATGCAAACGCCCTCCCACACACACTGCACTTGAAGGGTTTCTCTCCCATGTGTGTTCTCTGGTGTTTTACAAGAGTAGATGAAAGTGCAAACGTCTTCCCACACACGCTGCACTCGAAGGGTTTCTCTCCCGTGTGTGTTCTCTGGTGTGTTACAAGAGTAGATGAATGTGTAAACGCCTTCCCACACACATTGCACTTGAAGGGTTTCTCTCCCGTGTGTGTTCTCTGGTGATTTAATAGAGTAGATGCCTGTGCAAACACCTTCCCACACACACTGCACTTGAAGGGTTTCTCTCCTGTGTGTGTTCTCTGGTGTGCTACAAGAGTAGATGACTCTGCAAACACCTTCCCACACACACTGCACTTGAAGCGTTTCTCTCCTGTGTGAGTTCTCTGATGCTGTGTAAAATGTCCATGATGATCCGTGCTGTATGCACACCGGTCGCATTGATGCCTTTCTGCACCGAGCCACGCCGAGTGCCTTTGCTCCATCAGACCAATTCTGCAGAGGAAGCGTCAGCTGCAGACAGAAAAAAGTTATATCCACATCAGTATCGATGCACAGAGGAATGCATATTTACATAGTAACACGTGACTTATAAGTCGACACTTATTCATATATTCATGATATAGTGAATAAGTTCACCAAATTCATCACACGGGCTGTTATGGCACACAATGAGAGGGCAAATGGGTATAAACATGCCTGGAAGCCCTCGTATCTTCAAAATGAATGTTAACCCAAAACTCCGAGCACACAATTTCGGCTGTCAGACTACAAAAGGAATATTTATGAAAGCTAAATTCAGCTGACATAGCAAAGGGTGTTGAAAATAATACTATTTGTGTTATGCAGAAATGCATAAATTAATGTTCAATCGCAACTTAGAGGTGTGAAGCCAGCCAGGCCCACGATGTCCTTGAATGCTGGGATGAACAGATCTGACTTCAGATGCATGTGTGATAAAGGACTCTCTCTCTCTCAGATGTCGATCTCCGTTGTCCTTTATTGGGTTCGTAGAATCTCGATACCACGGTGTCTCGCTCAGGCCCACGTCTCTCCCGACGACCTCTCCACTGCCTCGGCTGCTCCGATATGCAGTCTCCCTGCTGCTCCGATATGCAGTCTCCCTGCTCCTCCAATATGCAGTCTCCCTGCTCCTCCAATATGCAGCCTCCCTGCTGCTCCAATATGCAGTCTCCCTGCTGCTCCAATATGCAGTCTCCCTGCTGCTCCAATATGCAGTCTCCCTGCTGCTCCGATATGCAGTCTCCCTGCTGCTCCGATATGCAGTCTCCCTGCTCCTCCAATATGCAGTCTCCCTGCTGCTCCAATATGCAGTTTCCCTGCTCCTCCAATATGCAGTCTCCCTGCTGCTCCAATATGCAGTCTCCCTGCTGCTCCAATATGCAGTCTCCCTGCTCATCCAATATGCAGTCTCCCTGCTGCTCCAATATGCAGTCTCCCTGCTCCTCCAATATGCAGTCTCCCTGCTGCTCCAATATGCAGTCTCCCTGCTGCTCCAATATGCAGTCTCCCTGCTGCTCCAATATGCAGTCTCCCTGCTGCTCCAATATGCAGTCTCCCTGCTGCTCCAATATGCAGTCTCCCTGCTCCTCCAATATGCAGCCTCCCTGCTGCTCCGATATGCAGTCTCCCTGCTGCTCCAATATGCAGTCTCCCTGCTGCTCCAATATGCAGTCTCCCTGCTCCTCCAATATGCAGCCTCCCTGCTGCTCCAATATGCAGTCTCCCTGCTGCTCCGATATGCAGTCTCCCTGCTGCTCCAATATGCAGTCTCCCTGCTGCTCCAATATGCAGTATCCCTGCTGCTCCAATATGCAGTCTCCCTGCTGCTCCAATATGCAGTCTCCCTGCTGCTCTAATATGCAGTCTCCCTGCTGCTCCAATATGCAGTCTCCCTGCTGCTCCAATATGCAGTCTCCCTGCTGCTCCAATATGCAGTCTCCCTGCTGCTCCGATATGCAGTCTCCCTGCTGCTTCGTTGGGCAATCCTTGCAGCCACACCGCTGCTCCGCTGTCTAGCGTCACTGCTGCCCTTACACAGCTAGCCTCTCACAGCCCCGCTAGCTCTCTCTCCGTCTGACACCGTTGGCCGACGGTGTCGACGTCTCCCAGCTCGTGGCGACCGCGCCACTCTCCCCGTCTTGCCCAGCGTGGCCTCCTCAGGTTTCACTCCGTCTCAAACCCCCCTTCCGGTTCTCTCCCTAAATCCTCTCACCCACGTGACCCTAACTCCACCCACTCCCCACGTGACCCAGACTCCGCCCCCCCTCAATCCTTGCTCGCATTACACATGTGTGTGCTGTGTTAACTTCTTGACTGTTTCCATTCTTACAAACAGTTCCAGAGGAAAACAAAAATCAAACTATAGCTGTGATATAACCTCCCTGTTCAATAGAGTTAATAGACTTTACTGCAAACACAAACTTTACACTGTCACACACTGGCATGGTTAACAGGTGGTGGTGTATTAATGCTTCCTCACTCCACCAAGTAATTCATTGAGGATCAACCAACACAGGCGAGGCTGCGTGTCTCTCTGTGGTGAGATGTTAACTACCTGTCCTGGCATACAGGAAGTCGTGGGTTCCATCCCGACCCTGACGCCTGCTGTATATTTGTAGTTTACGTGTCTCTCTCTCTCTCCCCGTGGTCGCGTGGATTTCCTTCCCGATCCCCGGGTTTCCCCTCCACATGTAGAGAGTGAACACCGCCACGCGTCTAGAGTGAACACCACCACACGTTCAGAGTGAACACCGCCACGCGTCCAGCGTGAACACCGCCACGCGTCCAGAGTGAACACCGCCACACGTCCAGAGTGAACACCACCACGTGTCTAGAGTGAACACCACCACGCGTCTAGAGTGAACACCACCACGCGTCTAGAGTGAACACCACCACGCGTCTAGAGTGAACACCACCACGCGTCTAGAGTGAACACCGCCACGTGTCCAGAGTGAACACCGCCACGTGTCCAGAGTGAACACCGCCACGTGTCCAGAGTGAACACCGCCACGTGTCCAGAGTGAACACCGCCACGTGTCTAGAGTGAACACCGCGACGTGTCTAGAGTGAACACCGCCATGCGTCCAGAGTGAACACCTCCACGCGTCCAGAGTGAACACCGCCACGTGTCCAGAGTGAACACCGCCACGTGTCTAGAGTGAACACCGCCACGTGTCTAGAGTGAACACCGACACGTGTCTAGAGTGAACACCACCACGCGTCTAGAGTGAACACCGCCACGTGTCCAGAGTGAACACCGCCACGCGTCTAGAGTGAACACCGCCACGTGTCTAGAGTGAACACCGCCACGCGTCCAGAGTGAACACCACCACGTGTCTAGAGTGAACACCGCCACGTGTCTAGAGTGAACACCGCCACGTGTCTAGAGTGAACACCGCCACGAGTCCAGAGTGAACACCGCCACGCGTCTAGAGTGAACACCACACGTCTAGAGTGAACACCACCACGCGTCTAGAGCGAACACCGCCACGCATCTAGAGTGAACACTGCCACGTGTCTAGAGTGAACACCGCCACGTGTCTAGAGTGAACACCACCACGTGTCTAGAGTGAACACCGCCACGTGTCTAGAGTGAACACCACCACGTGTCTAGAGTGAACACCACCACGTGTCTAGAGTGAACACCGCCACGTGTCTAGAGTGAACACCGCCACGTGTCTAGAGTGAACACCGCCACGTGTCTAGAGTGAACACCGCCACGCGTCCAGAGTGAACACCTCCACGCGTCCAGAGTGAACACCGCCACGTGTCTAGAGTGAACACAGACACGTGTCTAGAGTGAACACCACCACGCGTCTAGAGTGAACACCGCCACGTGTCCAGAGTGAACACCGCCACGCGTCTAGAGTGAACACCGCCACGTGTCTAGAGTGAACACCGCCACGCGTCCAGAGTGAACACCTCCACGCGTCCAGAGTGAACACCGCCACGTGTCTAGAGTGAACACCGCCACGTGTCTAGAGTGAACACAGACACGTGTCTAGAGTGAACACCACCACGCGTCTAGAGTGAACACCACCACGCGTCTAGAGTGAACACCACCACGTGTCTAGAGTGAACACCGCCACGTGTCTAGAGTGAACACCGCCACGCGTCTAGAGTGAACACCACCACGTGTCTAGAGTGAACACCACCACGCGTCGAGAGTGAACACAGCCACGCGTCTAGAGTGAACACCGCCACGTGTCTAGAGTGAACACCGCCACGTGTCTAGAGTGAACACCACCACGTGTCTAAAGTGAACACCGCCACGTGTCTAAAGTGAACACCGCCACGTGTCTAAAGTGAACACCGCCACGTGTCTAAAGTGAACACCGCCACGTGTCTAGAGTGAACACCACCACGTGTCTAGAGTGAACACCGCCACGCGTCTAGAGTGAACACCACCACGTGTCTAGAGTGAACACCGCCACGTGTCTAAAGTGATCACCGCCACGTGTCTAGAGTGAACACCGCCACGCGTCTAGAGTGAACACCGCCACGCGTCTAGAGTGAACACCGCCACGCGTCTAGAGTGAACACCACCACACGTCTAGAGTGAACACCGCCACGTGTCTAGAGTGAACACCACCACACGTCTAGAGTGAACACCACCACGTGTCTAGAGTGAACAACGCCACGTGTCTAGAGTGAACACCGCCACGTGTCTAGAGTGAACAACGCCACGTGTCTAGAGTGAACACCGCCACGTGTCTAGAGTGAACACCGCCACGTGTCTAGAGTGAACACCGCCACGTGTCTAGAGTGAACACCGCCACGTGTCTAGAGTGAACACCGCCACGCGTCTAGAGTGAACACCGCCACGTATCTAGAGTGAACACCACCACGTGTCTAGAGTGAACACCGCCACGCGTCTAGAGTGAACACCGCCACGCGTCTAGAGTGAACACCGCCACGTGTCTAGAGTGAACACCGCCACGCGTCTAGAGTAAACACCGCCACGCGTCTAGAGTGAACACCGCCACGTATCTAGAGTGAACACCGCCACGTGTCTAGAGTGAACACCGCCACGCGTCTAGAGTGAACACCGCCACGCGTCTAGAGTGAACACCACCACACGTCTAGAGTGAACACTGCCACGTGTCTAGAGTGAACACCACCACACGTCTAGAGTGAACACCACCACGTGTCTAGAGTGAACACCACCACACGTCTAGAGTGAACACCACCACGTGTCTAGAGTGAACACCACCACACGTCTAGAGTGAACAACGCCACGTGTCTAGAGTGAACACCGCCACGTGTCTAGAGTGAACAACGCCACGTGTCTAGTGAACACCGCCACGTGTCTAGAGTGAACACCGCCACGCGTCTAGAGTGAACACCGCCACGCGTCCAGAGTGAACACCGCCACGTGTCTAGAGTGAACACAGACACGTGTCTAGAGTGAACACCACCACGCGTCTAGAGTGAACACCGCCACGTGTCCAGAGTGAACACCGCCACGCGTCTAGAGTGAACACCGCCAC